GGGGCATAGGGACAGGAGCAGCATCTCCAAACCCGTTCGAGCAAGCACATGATCCATTTCATAATGTCCAACAACTTCGCTCCCCCAACCAATGTGCAGATGGCATTATTGGCTCAGCAACAGCAACAGCAGCAACAGATGATGATGCAACATCAACAACAACAACAAAACATGTCAATGACACTAAGCCGTATCTAGCTCTGCCGCAATATCCTCAACAATCTCAGTATCCTGAACAGCAGATGAGTTCCATTAATCCATTTGGAGATCCTTTCCTCAGCCTCCCAACAAATTCATCACAGTCACAACAAGGAAACAATATGTTGCTCTAGAGGTCTATCTTATGACTTGTCCTTGTTAATTTTCAGTATATTCTTTAATTCTTTTTTTTTTTAAGTAGAAGATCTTTTTAATTGTTTGTGAAGCTTTAGTAAATTATAATCTCATTCTTTACTCAATAAATCATCAATATCTACATTTGTCTCTCTTTTTTTTGTTTCTTTTGGGTATTAATGGATATTGTTTTTGTTAATTTCAGAGCCAGTTGGTGTATTGTTACAAGAAACAAATCCACGTGTTTTTGCATCTGGTGCCGTTGAGACTTAGCTGAATAGTTTGTAAGTTAGCAGTGTTACGGTTTTTCTAACATATAGTTCACAATTTTTCTTTAAATTATAAATTTAATTGTATTATTATTCAAAAGAAAATTTCTCATTTTTGGAAGTCGAGGCTGTTGTATTTAGTGGATAATTGGAATTATTTAAAAAAATTCATTAAAATAAATAAATATTTTATATTAATTAAAGCATATAATTTTTTATTTAAAAAACAAACAGTTATATGTCTAAGATAAAATGTCTATGGTAAAATATAAATTATTACTTTTGGAAGTTCTACTGTTGTCACATTTTATCTTAGTCGTAATATTGTTTTACAAATGCGTTCCGCGTTACATACATATATATATATATATATATATATATATTTGAGTAGTGTAGATTGAAGAAAAGGTATTTTGAAGAGAAAATTATTAAAAGAAATTCCACAGTAATACTTTTTAAAAAATAAAATAACACTAGTAATATATAAATTTAACATAATTTATATATATATTTACAAAATTTATTTGTCCTATTGTAGATTCTGCTTAAGGAAATTTTTTCCTTTGGAGGGGATTTTTTTTAATTCATTTCTAATTTTGATTCAGATTGTTTTTCTTTCATGGGATTTAATTATTTAAAAAAATAAACTTATGATCTGTCAACAAATTATGAAATTTTATCTATAAAAGCTAGCTTAAACATCAACTTGAGTCATATAGGCGTTATGTATGTAATATGTAAACCGAGTATAATTTATATATGTATATATATATTTACAAGGTTCATGTATCCTAATGTAGATTCAATTATATAAGGATATTATTTTCCTTTTGAGGGAATTTTTTATTTTACTACTAATTTTGAATAAGATATTTTTTTTTTCATAATATAGAGGTTCAGAATTTAAATGAAAATAAAGTTATAAATTAAATACAGAATCGAAATAATAGAATTAGAGTTTATATTTCTTACACAATAATTTAGAATGCATAATAAGATTATAAAAATATTCTTTTTAAAAGAGCAAACGAAAATAAAAAATAAATAAATAAAAGCAAATTGCTAAACATTCTAAAACAACATTCACTAATTTTTAAAAGCAGTCCAAGTGGTGAACTATTCGCAACCTTTTTGTTGATCAAAATTTAGATCTCAGTTCTCTTGATCTGAAATAGTTAATAAATGGGTAAACTACACTAGGCAAATAAGAATATTACGTTAATTATATATACGAAAACTGAAAATTAATAAAAATCAGAAAAATAACCAATGCAACCCTTAATATCATGTAAATTTATTTATTATAAAGAAAACTATTTATTTCATATTGTGTAACATGTAATGCCCCAAAAATCTAAAAAGAAATATATAATAATTTAAGTGCGGAAGCGAAATAAAAGTTTAAGGTTTACATCTCTTATACAATAATTTAAAAGTATTAAACAAACATCATGGAATGAATTCTCTGAAAGAAACACGAGAAATAAAAAAAGTAAAGGAAAATATAAAGTATCTTGCATCTACTCGCAATCTTATTGTGGATCGAGCTCGAAAATCAGATTCTCTTGATCTGAAATTTTTTTATGTATTTAAAATATTAAAATTAATTTCATACCAAATTCTGGAACTGGGTATTACACATGAGATCTGACTCTATTAAAAAAATAAACTCATGATTTATCAATAATTATAAATTTTACCTATAAAAACATTAGCCTATGCCATATACAAAATTACAATTAGTCTTCTTAATATCAAAAAACAAATCACTAAGCAAGAGACATGAAGGTTTCAAACAAACTGACTCTCTTTGTGATGCTTCTGGTCATCACCTTTTGTGAGTATTTCTTTTTTTTTTTTTTTCTTTCAAAATAATAGTAAATTTAACATTTATTTAAAAAACTTATTTTTAAATATACGCATAGCATAAAGTAAATATTATTTATATATTATGTTTGATAATCAAATTTCTTAGTACGAGACCACATAAAATTTTTCTTCTGAATTTTTCCGTACCGAGTAATTGTTCTTATTAAATTATAAATAAAAAATGAATTTTTTTACTAATTATTTAATAATTAAATAATAAAATGTTATAAAACATAATTTATCGGAATATTATTTATGCCAAATTATCACATTATTCTCTAAAATTTGATATTTGTTAGTTTATAATATTTTTTATTATAACATGATTTCTTATGTTTATTTTTCAAATGCCTATTTTTATTATAATATTATTTCCAAAATTAATTTAATAATTTATTATTTTATTTTAGGTATGAGTAATTTAGTAGTTAAAATTAAAAGTATATTTGAATTTGAAGTTTTGGTGAAAGAGACAGAGGGAAGAGATCTGAAGAGAATGGTGATGTGCAATAAGGATGCAGACTGCCGTGCTATTTGCTATACCTGCATTTGTGTTTGCAGAGACCAGCTTTGTGTTTGTCCATCTTCCACCGCCGCCACCACCGCCACCACCACCTCACAATCACAATCTACCAATCAAATCATTCGTACAACTTTTACCTAATATCTATATATTACCATAAATATTATTGCTATAATCAATAATGTTCTATTAGAATAACAACTCAATAAAATTTAATGTTTTAAATTTGTTTTTATTGCATAATGCGACAAATAATTTTCTTTTGACTTATTATAACTTTAGCAGAGAAGAGAGATAAAGTTTAAAGAGAGAAGGAGACTAAATGAGGAAGAAGAGAGAGGGAAGAAAAATAGACTATTTGAGATTATAACTTCAACCATTTATACCGATGATTCAAGCTTACAATGGAAAACTTAAATACAAAAATGGTATATGAAGATATCGCCATGGAATGCTGCAGAAGCTGTTGGTCAGAAGGGCTGCAACCTGTTCGTCGAACCCTTCCAATGGAGAGAGAAAAATGAAGAGTCGAGCCAGTCCACCGCGTAAAGAAGAAATGGTTCAGCGGTTCAAGAAACCGGTTCGTTACCTACGTTTTCTGGGTTTTAAATACCCCCTCTCCGGTCGTGACACGTGTGCGTCTGGTTTCCTCATATTCTGCCACGTGGCCACAATACTTTCGGGGGCAGAAGACATTGTGCGGCCGATACCTAAAACACACATGGGTTTTACTTCTATGCGGATGGATGCAGCTTTCTCCGCCTGCTCCCTGTTTTGGATTCTGTGCGGTCAATTTCACTCTCTTCTTCGTACACCCGTTGTAATCACCTGTTTTCTTGCTCATTGTTTTGGATTTTGCAACCGGTTCGCAACAATTGCCTGCCCTTCAAAATCAGTTTTGTTCCTAAGATCGAGATTCAGCTTTCAAGCATTTGGTGTCAAATAATAATATTATTAGTATTATTTATTTTTATTGTACTACCTGAAATTTTTTTTGATATATTTTAGAATTATCTGTTTTATCTTGTTGTTTTTTATTTAGAGGTTGATGTCTTTCTCCTTCCTTTTCTTCACATGTCTCCACTACCGTGACTTTTTTTTTTTTTTTATATTGATATCTTGGAAAATATTTTTTCTTGTATCTATAGTAAAAAATTAGAGATAAAATATTTTTTTTTTGAAAATTTATAAATTTTTATTAATAATATAGACTTTATTTTCAAAAAAATTTCTTAATATTAGAGGATGCTATCTTTTTGAATTTATTTATTTTATTGAATTTCTTGACAATAATATTAACTCCATCTAATCCTATAAACTTTCTATGCAATTATACCTTAAATATTTTTAAATCAAATGTTGTTGTCTTTATAAAAAAAAGTGAAATTGATTAAAAAATGTGCTTAAAATATTAGATATCTTATATTAATTAAAACATATAAATTTTTGTTTAAAAAATAAACAGTTACGCTGTGAAACCCCTACACGGTTTCTATTATAGGATTATATACTATTTATTCTTCCACTCTTAAACAAGATATTTATAATTCTCCAACCAAATCACACCTATCTATTAGTTTAAGAAAAATTTCATTCATGTACAATGAATAACTCTATAATCAAATAATCTATTCAACTATCACCCTACACATAGAAGTTCTAATACTACTCTAATACTGTAAGTGTACTACTATGTCTCATCGTGATTGATAACGTTTTGCTACTTCGAAGCCCGGTGCTCTGTTGTTAAGCTCTACATTTTCGGTTCCCATCTCAAAGCATCTGAAATGAGAGTAATGAATATGCATAACCTAATAAGATGAAATTTGGAACTGAAACTAATGAATAACAATTAAATGACCTCCCTCCTTACTATCATTTTCCTTATTTCTATCATTTAGTTTTTCTCCCTTGATAATTATTAAAAAACGACACTACTCCCTCCTAATCCCACCTAACTCCTTACCGTTAGCTCTTTGTTCTCTCAACCACATAACGGACCCGCACTCTATCCCTTTTGTTTTAACCACAACACCTTACCAACTTGACGCCATTCCGATAGTCCTTATACCACACCCATACACCCTCTCAACAAACATCGATCCACCAAGACCACACACGCACACCCTCGCTGCCTCCTGGGGCCCCACCCCAACAGCAAACACAATCCTCGTATCAACCGTTACATGGCCCCCTGCACTATCGCACCACAACGTCAAATACACACCGTAATTCTCGCAACAACTACCACTAAATGGCCCCACTGAACTCCACCAACGTTGGCCACATGGCCTCCCACACAACTGACTAGGGGAGTGCCTCATTGACCACGGAGTGG